AGATGTTGACTAATTGTCATCTTAGTAACACTCCCCAATATTAACATCGAGGAAGAAATAATTACTACTATAACTAATGTTGATAACCGCTTTCGCGGCGTTGTAGTAAAACGGAGTCTAACCTTTCGGTTTTTCCCCGAGTATCGTGTCTATTGAGGAATGTCGGAGGAGTTTCTTGATTTTAAATTCAGTCACAGGTTATCGCAAATTATTGGAAGCTTTCCGAATTAAAACTTTTGATTGATTTTCTAAACTAGTTTTTGAAAAATAAAGTAATTAAATTATGCAAATCTAATGATGGCTCAAAAATAAACTAAATGAAAAATATTAAACTCTAAATGGATTGATCAAAGAAGGGCAATGAATTGAATAATTAGAAATGGATATATTCTTGGACCTAGTAATTAGGGGAATTAAAACAATAATTGGACTAATAGTTTGTTTTCTCATAGACAAGAATAGAAATTACTTTCATTAATTTATCCTATTTCTAGGTTTCATTAATGCATTCAAAAATGGCTGGCTTGAATTAAATTCTAATCTCATAGACAAGACAGAAATAATTCTCCAATATTTTAATTAATAAAAATAGCCAAATTCATTAACTAATTAAACTCATTATTTAAGCAATTTGAATTTATTTCTCATAGACAAGATGTAAATCCCTTTCATTAAAATATCCTATTTCTAGGCCTTATTAATGTGCTTGAATAAAGTTGGCTCAAATTATTTTCTAATCTCATAGACAAGTTAGAAATAATTTTCCAAAATTTTATTAATGAAAATGGCTAACAATTATTAATTACTAATTCATCAATTTGAATAACTAGCCCTATTAATTAATTTTAACCCCTAATTTTCGGCTAACAAGTCAATCCATATTCTTTTACTCAATTCATGCCCAAAACGATTTTAGCTACTAAACATTATTTTTGCATTTAACAATATGGTAAATAAATTAACCATTAACAAGGAATTAAACATGTATAATAGCAAAAATTAATCAAAAATAAGATCTTGTCAAAATAAACTTTCTGGAACTACAATATGACTTTTTGGAATTTTCCACGAATTTTTAAACCTAAAATCCAATTTTAACCCTAATTGATAATTTTCCCACTTTTAACTATAAAATACAAAAGGCAATTAAAAATAGGCTAAATTCATTCTAAATTTTCTATTGACTACTGGCAGTGATATTACAGTGAAATAAACTGGAATTAGGGCCGAAACTAATTTTTTACTCTTTTTAAGTAATTAATTTAATGTATGCAATAATAACAACTAATTACTGAAATTAATTAAAAATTACTTCTGCTTCGGAAAAATTAACTTTCTTCAGATAAATAACAACCTTGAGACTAGTAAACAACCATATAATTAATTGGAATGAATTCAACATCAACAACTATTTTATTTAATTTTTGGAAGAAAATGTGAAATACTTGATAAATATTCTGAAAAAATTCGAAGAACAGATCGAGAAAAAAAAGCACAGATTCAGATTCTACTCGTTGAGAAGATGAAAATACATATAAAGAACTTACAAATTGGAGCTAAAATGAAAAAGATATGAAAGATTGAAGTTGAAGGTGCAACAATGGTGGAAATCCGAGCTTTGAAGAGGAAGAAGAAGACCTTTTTGAACTAGTTTCGGGCTAAGAATGGTGTATTTGAGTTCAGCAAAAATCGGGCTATTTATAGCACCAAAAATCTCGCAGGCCTCCAAACAGGCGGCCGCCTGCCGCCTTGCTCCGGCCGCCTGCCGTCACTTCGCACCGACCGGTTGTTCGTTTCGTCGTCTTGTGCCGCAGGCGGTCATCGAAGGCAGCCGCCTTCCGTCCAGTGTCGGCCGCCTTCCGTTTTTCTCCGGTTCGATCAAATTTCCAAAAAAAATGATTTTTCAAAAAAAAAACGGCAGGCGGCCGCGCAGGCCTCTATTTTTTGGCCGCCTGCCAGGCCGCCTTTGAGTATATTTGACCATCTTATTCTGTATTTTGTGCTCTTCAACTTTCCCTTCTGGACCTCTTTGAAATTCTGCTTGCTTCTTTCGGTATGATATCATTTTTCACTCAAATTGACGCATTTTGTGCTTAATTGACCTAAAATTTCGTCAAACATATCATGGACGTGATTTTTACCTATTTCATGAAACTTGAACCAAAATATATAAAACATGCCTTGTTTTTCTATTTTCCAATCCAAAATCGCTTAAAATTGATAAGAAAAATAAGTACAAAAATGGACTTATCAAATGTCAAGATGTTAACTAATTTTCATTTTAGTAACACTCCCCAACATTGATATAGAAATAGTATTTAAAGGAAGAATTAATATTCAAGGAAGAAAATTAAAGAGAATAACTCACAACTTACAAATTCATTAAGATTCAAAGTAGCAAAACCAAGACGGAAGAGTTTAGCTCCTCATTTGGAGACTAAACATTATAAAAATATAAAGAAAGTACTTAACTAAACTGAGCTTAGAAGTGTAGATGAATTGATATCTAATTGTGAAGAGAAGGAGGTGTATTTATATGGTTTTGGGAATGCAGCTCGGGTACCGGATCGGGTATATACACGGTACCCGACTGGGTATGTGTAAAACTTCAGACTCGAGGTATACTCGATCGAACTCGGGGTTAAAATTGAAGGGATACCCGATCGGGTGTGTCGGTGTACCCGATCGGGTGTAACAACTGATCGTGGCCAAATATTCCCCTCCACGTCCCTTTGTTTCCTGAAGTGATTTGATCGAAAATCAAGTTGGTACCCGATCGAGTAAAGGGTATACTCGATCGGGTACAGGTCAAAATCAGGATTATTCTTCTTTTGTCTTGTACTCGTGCAAGGGGCTTTTAGATTTGTTTGATTTAAAAATACTAAGATGAACAACCTATATGAGTTTGATTAATAGATGTGGTGACTTGGTTTTGCTTTTATCCGCTTAATGAAATGTTCGTCGATCTCGGTTATATCTTTAACTATCTTCCTCTCGAATACTCAATCGAGGAGTATATCCAGTTCATCGAGGGTAGTTATTAATAACGAGATGCGCTCATTAATAAAACTTACTATCGAGTCAATATAGAACAAGCGCCGTATATTAACTTGATAGTAGCAATAAATTTAAGATGAAAACGATTGAGATTGATAACCTCAACACAAACGGTTTATTGGTTTAATCAATATAATTAATTCCCCTTGGCATATAACCATGAGATGCATGCATTAATAATCCAACTTTACTACCGTTGAAAGAACCAGATTAATAACAAGCGTATTAACCGATTGATTCTAGTAATAATTAATATGAGAAACAAAACTAGTTGATACTTTAAGTAATGTTTAAAATATTAACATGAAATATGAATAGGAATTAATTAATACTCATGGAAGAATACTAAAGAATATGAATCCTACTATGATTAATATCAAGATGTTAACTAATTGTCATCTTAGTAACACTCCCCAATATTAACATAGAGGAAGAAATAACTATTACTCTAACCAATGTCAAGATGTTAACTAATTGTCATCTTAGTAACACTCCCCAACTTTGATATAGAAATAGTATTTGAAAGGAAGAATTAATATTCAAGGAAGAAGTTTAAAGAAAATAACTCACAACTTACAAATTCATTAAGCTTCAAAGTAGCAAAATCAAGATGGAAGAGTTTAGCTCCTCATTTGGAGACTAAACATGATGAAAAATATAAAGAAAGAACGTCTTATGTGTTTTACTTGATTGAGATGAAGACTTGACTTTGCTTTTATCCACTTAGTGAAATGTTCGTTGATCCCGGTTATATCCTTAACTATCTTCCTCTCGAATACTCAATCTAGGAGTATCTCCATTTCATCGAGGGTAGTTATTAATAATGAGACTCGTTCATTAATAAAACTTACTACCGAGTCAATATAGAACACGCGCCGTATATTAACCCGATAGTAGCAATAAACTTAAGATGAAAATGATTGAGATTGATAACCTCAACACATTCGGTTTATTGGTTTAATCAATATAATTAATTCACCTTAGATTATTAACCATGATATGCATGCATTAACAATCCAAGTTTACTAACGTTGAAAGAACCGAATTAATAACAAGCGTATTAATCGGTTGATTCTAGTAATAATTAATATATGAAACAAAACTAGTTGATCCTTTAGGTAATGTTCAAAATATTAATATGAAATATGAATAAGAATTAATTAATATTCAAGGAAGAAGATTAAAGAAAATTAACTCACAACTTACAATTCATGAAGCTTCAAAGTAGCAAAACCAAGATGGAAGAGTTTAGCTCCTCGTTTGGAGACTAAACATGCTAGAAAAATATAAAGAAAATACTATTCTAAGTTGAGCTTAAGTATATGGAAGAAGGGATGATTAAAAGTGGAGGAAAATGGTGCTCTTTATAGGTGTTTAGAATCAACTATGCCGGATACCCGACCGGGTATTTGAGATACCCGACCGGGTATTTGTCAAATCATATCTTTTTCGCACGTTTTTGTGTTCTTCCGCACGTTTTTTTTGCCCGAAATCACTTCATACCCGACCGGGTTTATGAGATACCCGACCGGGTATCAATGTGTTTTCCCAGCAACTTCGTTTTTTCACTTTATACCCGACCGGGTAATCACCAAATCACATTTTTAGCATGATTTCCTGCTCCCTTGCAGCATCCTTTGGTCTTATAAGATAACTTCCATGCTGTGTTTTATTCAAGCTCAAAATCTTCTAAAACTAATAAAATACAATAAACTAGGAAAAATAAAGTATTACACCAAAAGTGTGTAATTTCCCAAACAACAATAAATAAAACTAGTTAAAATTACAAAGATAAACAATAACAATTATATACTATCAAACTCCCCCCTACTTAATCCATTACTCGTCCTCGAGTAAAAATCAACATAACACTCCACAATCAACAGAACAGATAAATTCAACGGAATTAAATGTTCATTTTTTTTTTCATCCTCAAATTTCAGAGAAAGAGGGTCTTCACGATTTTCAAGGACAAGTGAAATGAGTTCCTGTATAGATTCAGATAAAATTTCCTCTCATTCTCTCCTTCTGCCTAGGAGCCTTTTCAGGTTTTCATCCTAGCCTCTCTTTTTATTTTCCTTCTTCTCCCAACTCACTCATTTTAGCCACTTTTGCTTAGGTTGTCCATTTTTTTGGGTTTTCAACCTAACTAGCATTTTTTCTTTTATTATTATATCATTTTTTTGAAGAAAAAAATGGAAGTTACAAGGTTAAAAAAATGAGTACATAACAAATGAGTGCCTCCCCTACACTTTTTTCGAAACACTGTCCCTAGTGTTCGACACCATGATCTTCGACGTACCCTCCATAACCGCCATCGCCACCAAGACCATGTTCACCGGAGCTAGAACCTCCCAATTGCCCTAATACGAGGGATGATACCACGCCGGGTGTTGTACTAGAGTGGACATGTTGGAGAAGTACCCTTGGTGCTCAAAGTTATGTGTTCTCTTTGGTGTATTTTTTGAGTGAATTCCAAACTTGAGATTGGGGGGTTAGGGAAATCAGTTTGTAGGGTATTTGGGGGATTTAGTGGGTTTGGTGTGTGTGGGTTTGGAAAGTAGGGTGAGGAAAAAAAGAAAAGACATTTTGTTTTGGAGGTTTTGGACAGGATGATGTGGATAAGAAGAATGTGGGGTTAATTTGGATGTTTTGATTGAGATTGGAGTGGTTCGAAGCTTGGATGATTGTCAATGGAGGTTGAGGGTTTGAGTTTGGGAGATTGGGGAAGAAAATGGGTGTTTTGTGGGCTGATTTGGGAAAAAATCGAACTGAAACCCTGATTACCCGCCCGGATTTTCTCAATACCTGAATGGGTATTCTGATTTTTGATAGGCAGAGAGTTTTTTAACCACATACCCGGTCGGGTTTTCGTGATACCTGGTCAGGTATCAGGCATTTTTTTATTTTTATTTTCTCATCTTTCTCTTTGCCCGGCCGGTTTTCATGCTATACCCGAATGGGTAAGCATTCCCTGGGCTCCGGGCTCCCAGGGACGAGATTTAGCAAAAACCCGGCCGGGTATTGTAGTAAAAACCGGGCCGGGTTTAGTAATAACAAGCGTATTAATCGGTTGATTCTAGTAATAATTAATATATGCAACAAAACTAGTTGATCCTTTAGGTAATGTTCAAAATATTAATATGAAATATGAATAAGAATTAATTAATATTCAAGGAACAAGATTAAAGAAAATTAACTCACAACTTACAATTCATGAAGCTTCAAAGTAGCAAAACCAAGATGGAAGAGTTTAGCTCCTTGTTTGGAGACTAAACATGCTAGAAAAATATAAATAAAATACTATTCTAAGTTGAGCTTAAGTAAGTATATGGAAGAAGGGATGATTAAAAGTGGAGGAAAATATGATGCTATTGAAAGTGGAGGAAAATGGTACTACGGCGGATACCCGACCGGGTATTTGAGATACCCGACCGGGTATTTGTCAAATCATATCTTTTTCGCACGTCTTTGTGTTCTTCCGCACGTCTTTTTGCCCGAAATCACTTCATACCCGACCGGGTTTATGAGATACCCGACCGGGTGTCGGTGTATTTTCCCAGCAACTTCGTTTTTTCACTTTATACCCGACCGGGTAAAGGTTATACCTGACCAGGTAAGTCACCAAATCACATTTTAGCATTATTTCTTGCTCCCTTGCACCTTCCTTTGGTCTTGTAAGATATCTTTCATGCTCTGTTTTATTCAAGCTCAAAATCTTCTAAAACTAATAAATTACAATAAACTAGGAAAAATAAAGTACTACACCAAAAACGTATAATTTCCCAAACAATAGTAAATAAAACTAGTTAAAATTCCAAAGATAAACAATAACAATTCTATACTATCAATTCAGCTGGCACCCTTCAAACGACAACAAAGCAAGCCCTTGGGTTATCACATTCAAACCCCTTCATCCAGAGTTAGCCCTCAGCACAAAGGTGTGGGGGACTGAGGAACCCCTCGGGAAATACGCCAGTTTTCAAAGAATTCTTGCAAAAACAAAAGTAACGCCGACTTCACCAAAATTACAAAGGTGACCCGCTTTCACTTCCCCTCAAGAAACCCTTAGCCCCTCAACGTATGGGGGACTGAGGGACTCCCCTTGGCAAGCACCGGAATAATCATTTGTATTCATCAACTACGTCATATTCCGACGACCACTTCCAACGGTCACACCCTCAGAACGGCCCTCGGCCTCAACGCGATCTTGTATCTCACTTCGAAGGATTCACCCCTTTGCTTGATTTTGGGGGCATCTTGTGCACTCTTTTTCCCTCATTAGGATTTTTTCCCACTGGGTTTTTTCCTAATGAGGTTTTTAACTAGGCATCTCCCCACTGTGCATCAAAAGGTGTCGACCCTCAGCCCTCGGCTACCTACTGAAAACACACTTTCACCAAGCAACCCCTCGACGCAAAGGAAATGTTTTCACTACATCACAGCGACATCAAGGCAACCACCGGAGACTTCATAACAATTACTCCTATTTGCCTCGAGAAGCTCTCGACAAAAGGAGTGGGGGACTTCTGATGGAGTATATGGCCCAGGAACCCCCGACCCACATACTTCCACTACTAGTGCCAGGCCCAACAGGCCGAAGCGGCCCAAACACAGCAAGCAAGGATCCGGACAGCCCATACTGCAACAGGTTACTACCTTCGGCCCCATGGCCGAAGGCCACACATTTGGCAATCGACAAACGTCACTGGGAAATTCAGGCTGAGATTACGTGCACCGTTCAGTATTTACAGCCTTCGGCATATACACAACCTTCAGCTCATACATAGCCTTCGGTACAAGGGCCCCCCGGGTGCATGTAATCGAGAGCACTCTTCCCAACAGGATCTCCCCTCCACCCACGCTGGATCGCCGCATTGAATGCGAATGTCACACCCAAACTACCGCATTAAATGCGGCTACATGCTATGTCAGCGCCACCCTGGCTGAATTGACCCTCCATCGCTGGTTGCTCGACACGTGTACTGTCGTTGATTAGACCTAGCATTTATGGCTGCTATAAATAGCAGCCATTCTTCCATTGTAATCGACACAATTTCGATATCGAATACATACTCACTCTCTCTCTTACTTGCTCTGACCTCTCTCTTGATATTTCTTATAATATCCATCGGATAAGCTACCCCCGGATACACTATCCATCACTAACCATAGTCGCACCATCTTCTTGACTAGTACTTTGACTCGTCTGTGGCTGCTCTCGTAGAAACTTTCTACAATCTCTTTTTCTATGCCCATAATTACCACAGTAATTGCAATATCCTTCAAACCAAGTATTGTCTTCAAAGGACATGCCTCTCTCTTGTGATCTGCCGCAAACTTGAGAGTTTCCTCTACTTTTGACCTTGGCCTCTACCTCGACCTCGACTTCTTCCTCCATTTTTGCCCCCCCCCCCCTCGTCTGTTAGTTTCTGATATGAGGGCATATGATTGTTCTGTCCCGGCTTCCTTCCTTCAGGCTTCTTCATTCATTAGAGCATCTGTGACCATCTGCATAGTCACCTTCCCATTAGGAGCAGAATTACTGAGAGTGACAACAAGAGTCTCCCATGTTGGTGATTTTAGTGTCACCGGCCGTTTTGTGTAATTGGAAATGACATGAGTGCCAATGATGATTAAAACCGTGTTCTAATATAAGCTAGGAGGTGTGGAGTGCACACTTGTATATAAGAATAAGTTCTATTCCAAAGTGTCTACGGCAGTGGAACTCAAGGTAGAACACTCAGTAAACCAACTTTGTGGTTCTAGACCGAGGTTTAGAGCGGTGGGCCAGTTTCGTGCAGTTTTTCCAAAAACTGTCACAGTTATTCCAGAACGTGTTGCAATTGCCCATGACGTGTAATATGGTTATATATCACCATATTTCGTACAGAGAAGGATGAGAAAACATATCCAACATATCTTCATCATTTTTGGCATTCAACTTAAGATATCAATCCATATACTCACTAGTTTGGTCTTAGTTATTGTGCCTAAGTTCTAGAGTGTCCTTAAGGATTATCCTAGATTGAATTTCTTGTAACCCAGGCATAGGGGAGAAATATCAATACGGAAAGTGAACTTACAAGATCCTTAAGCAATCCAAGTACTCGATTATCACCCCCTACGTGAAATACCCCAACAATTGAATTGATATCTTCTTTGTGATAATCATGAGTACCGTGGAAGAGATGACATCCAAGTTCAACAATTTGGACAAGTTTTAAGGGAACGATTTCCGTAGATGGCAAAAGAAGATGCACGTCCTCCTCACCACTTTGAAGGTTGTGTACGTGTTGAGCACTCCGATGACGGAAGTGATGGAGGACGAAACCTTGGAACAAACTAGGAGGCGTAACAAGTGGGAGAACGATGACTACATATGAAGAGGCCACATTCTTAACGGTATGTCCAATGCGTTATTGGATATTTACCAAAATGTTGAGAGTGCGAAGGAATTGTGGAATTCTCTTGAGTCAAAATACATCACCGAGGATGCCTCTAGTAAGAAGTTCTTGGTAAGTGATTTTAATAATTTTAAAATGGTTGACTCAAGGCCGGTTATGGAACAATACAATGAACTCCTTCGTGTTCTTGGTCAATTTAAACTCCACAAGATAGGTGTTGATGAGTCCTATGCCGTGTCGAGTATAATTGACAAACTTCCATCCTCTTGGAAGGATTTTAAACGTTCTTTAAGACATCAAGATGAGAAATTCTCATTGGTTCAACTTGGGAGTCACTTGCACATTCAGGAGTCTCTTCGTGCGCAAGAGAATGACCAAATTATGGGCGAAGTTGAATCTAGACTGGCTCATGTTCACTTGGTTGAGGATAATAAATCTAACCCGAAAGATAAGGGGAAAGGCAAAAAGCGCAAGTATGAAGACCATGACAAACCCAACAAGAAACCGAAAGGTTTGGTTTGTTGGAAGTGTCAAAAGGTTGGACATGTCAAGCGTGATTGCCGTGTGAAACTGAACAAGAATGGCACTGGAATAAGTGGCAGTGGACAGGAACGGTCTAAGGACCTGGTTCCACGGAAAGG